CCAAGTAAGCAGCCAAGAAAACTCGGTCATGACCAAGCTCGAGTTGAAATGGAAATCTTTGTAATAGCGTTAAAATATAGTTTCATCTCTAATTATAAAATTTCAAGCTCAAAAAATAGTGTAGCTTGAGCAGATCTATGAAATCTTGAAAATTGATTGTCCAAAACTACATTACAAGGTGCAGTATTTTCAAAACTTGAAATCCATTTTTTTCTCATGTTCATGCATCACAAGGTGCAATATTTTCCAAACTTGAAATCCATTTTTTTCTCATGTTCATACATCGTGATGTCGAGATGATCAATTTGAGGATATTTGGGAGTTAAAACTACCTCTTATAGTGAAATTTTTGAAGTGCGCTCTAATTTGATTGTTTAGAGCCTCACACTTATATAAACTTTTTCTAAATATATGTGCACCACTGCATCCAAAAATTTTCAAAAAATTTGCACATCATATAAGCTTTTCTTTTGGACATATGAATACTACATTATTAATCAATACCACATTATTAAACCAGAGTTAAGGGGTGGATACATGTCGGAAGAATAAAGGGTGACCCTATCATGACATAGAAGATAGGGTAAGGAGTCCTAAATTTAGGATGTTAATGGGGAATGGGTTTTCATGACATAGAAGATAGGGTAAGGAGTCCTAAATTTAGGATGTTACTGGGGAATGGGTTTATAGAAAGCCAAAAAAAAAGAAGAAAAATATTGACTTCCTAAAATTTTGTAAAGTAAATCGTACATAAGGAGAGGTATCCTAAATATTCTCCCCTGGAAAGTCACGAGCCTTTCTCTCTAAACTTCTTATTTAATTTGACCCATAATTTATATTTTGTATTTTTGGGAGGAAATTAATATGGTAGTTATTAAACTTCTAATGTTGTGGGTTGGTGAGTGAGAGAGGTAAAGAGAGAAATGAATTAAAATTGAAGGTATTATAAGGGATACTCCTAAAATCCTAGGATCACCTCCGAATATTTGTGCATGCTAACCTTAGCTGCTACAAAGATTGGCACGCATAGATATGAATTAAAATTGAAAGGTAAACTATCTATATCTTCATGGATTTTTTAAAAGAGTGAATGAGATAGCTATTGTAGGAGTTAAAGATATCTATAAATTTTAGAAGGTAAGGTGACATGGGCACTGAAACGGTTTAACCGGCTTAACCGGTAAACCTGCCTATTCAACCATTTTAACTAGGCAAGACCCTGTAGTTAAAAAAGTATTGAAAAAATAAAAAAGAATACAAAAAAAATAAATCTACTAACATATGAAAAGCATATAAAGAATGATTAAAACAAAATATATTTAAATGAAGTTAAAAATTAATAATAAAAAAATGCATTTTAACGAATTGATTTGTGCCTAAATATTTTTTTTTAAAAAAATAAAAAAGATGAGGAAATATAAAAGTGAGTATTAATGACCAAAACAATTTTTAATCTTTGCCATAATATAAAAGACTATTAAAAAATTTACAAACCAAATTCTTTATTTTTAAAAATTTATATATATTTTTTTGAAAAAAATTTAAATCCAATCAATCACGTAAACTGCCCAAAATGAAAACTAGCCTCGCCGGTTCCAATCTAACCGGATCGCCCGGTTTTTCCGACCGTGGTAAGGTGCGAATGCTAACAAGGGTGTACAAGGGTTGGCAGACACAATTAAAAACCAAATAGATAGACATGATATCAAAAGTTATCAATTGGTGATGCTTGCATTGTTATATTATTTTATGACTGTTGGATTGATATTTCTCTTGCCTTTACAATGTGAAGTTCGGTACTTAGATATTTTGACCTTTGTTGCTTTTGAAGAAATTGCTTTATTTGTTTTAACATTCGATATTTACATTTCTATTTGAAACAAATCTAATGCTTTGAAACACACATGCGAAGCATTGCATTCAACTAGTTAAGACGTTATATTTTTACAAATAGATTTTTTTTTTTTTGAAAATCTATAAGGTGAGATCATTTATTTTTAGGAAAAATATATAATGAGATCATTTATCTTTGGTATAAGGTGGTCACAATTAATCTTGACCATTTGATGTGAAATTAGGTGGTTGCATTTATTTCATTGACTAACTCGAAGTTCAAAAAAAAAAAAAATCCGAACTTTGTGACACACCCAACTATCAGATTTCACATTCAAT